GAGGTAGAGAGAATTCGTTCGATCGAAATCGTGCCGGCCCGGTCATTTGGATTAGCGCATCCTCGCCGCGCTACCGGCGAGGAAAATAAAAATAATTAATTTTCCGGAAAATAAATATCAGCCCCGTATGCATAATTCATAATATCGGAAAGGTCGAATTTGTACGTGGACGCTTGTTGTATCACACATAGGGTACGCGCGACGTTTTCCGATATACATATCTATTGGCGAAACCCGAAGCCGAATGAATTACGCGTGGCTTCGTTAAACTGTATATTTCATCGACGTCTCTCTTCTTCTCGATGATATATTCCAATTTCCGATTTGGCTCATCGATCGAATTCGTTCGTTTGTTCGTTCGTCCGACAAGGACCACTATTACTCGTGTTCTCGAGAACAAAAGGAATAAAAAATAAAAAAGAAAGAAAAAAAAAATATCTTGGCAAGTAACACTTATTAATGTAAACAATTTTATAATAATAATATATATATATACATGTAAACTTGACATATTAACAATATATATATATATATATATATATATATATATATATATATATATTATCTATTTCAAATTATTATAAGAAAATTTGCACGAAGAAATATTTGTTCGACTATTCAATATTCGAAGGTATCATGCATACGCTAAATTATTATTATAACTTTGCGGTACTATCTCGAAACCTTCGCGAAAGTTAATTATGAAATTCGAGTAGACAATGAGACGCTTATCGTTTGATTGGCTTCGACCGTGACAGTGTGTATGTGTGTGTACACTTCGTATCTGATAAAATACTGCTCCACGGATCGATCACGCGTATCACGAGAAACGCTGACGATTTTACGAAGGATCGATAAGACCGATAAAAAAAAAAAAAGAAAAAAGAGAGAGAGAAAAGAAAAAAGAAAGAAAAAATTCTTTTTTAACGAACATACACATATACGTACATAAATACGTAGGAAACTCTTTTCACATCGTTCTTAATGTAATGAACGATCCGAAAAAATTTTAAGATTATCGCATTTTTACACAGAAGATGAATAATCAGCTTTACTTAACAATGTTTCATTGTTCATAATTCATGTATATATATGACTTATGACGGAGCAAAATTCTTTCTTTACCTTTTCTTTTCTCTCTCTCTCTCTCTCTCTCTCGTTCTTTCTCTCTCTATATATATTAATTGCGTTATTACACATTATTAGAACCAATAGATTATTTTAACGAAAACTACGGAATAAATATAATTATTTCCTATTTTCTATTTAAAAATACTTTGATAATATATATGTGTATATATATATATATATGTATATATATATATGTGTATATATATATATATATGTGTATATATATACATATATATATACCCATTTCAAATAACACAATTATTTAATAATAACACAATTTAATTAATAACACAATTCGGTATATACGTAGATTTAATTTAGGAAGCCCGTATTATTCGGTACGCATCTTTGAAGTATCTAAAGGAAAGGCAGGACGTCTCGAAACGATTTTGTGGTTTCGATGTTGCTCTTCCGCGCTTAACTTAGCTTACGAAGTGTACTACGCATCGTTTCCCAAACACCGTCTCAAAGCAAACAAACATTCTAGACTTGGTTAACCGACTATCTCGTCTATGGTGCAAACTTCCATAAGCGTCCTAAAGAGAGAACCATTGAAACGCCATAGTTTTCATACGTTCACTTTATATGTGAATGACTAACGATAATTGCAATAACGATAAATTACATTCGTAATTTCGCAGTAAAGAATTCTTCTTAATAGAACCTGACTTACTCCTCGTACGATGAAATCTAATGATCTTATTATTACGTAAAAACCATTTTTACGTGAATATTCTAATCGTACTTAAACGTTTAATTTCGATCAACGAAGATTAAAGAAAACGAAAACTTCGTCAAATCGATTTGATCGTACGAGTCGATAAATTAATTATATATAAATGTGTATATTATATAAAATATGTATATTATGAATAATACCATTAAAGAAAATTTCTTAATATTACGATTATTACGATGAACAATGTAAAAAAAAGAAAAAAAAAAAAAAAGGAAAACCATAAATATCTATAATCGGTTTATAACAAATCAGAGAGTAAAGAATAAAGGTTTTATAAATATATATAAAACCACAAATATCTACCATCGATTTATAACGAATTAAAGAGTATAGAATGAATGATTTAGAAATATATATTTATCGTATCGTATTTAAAATGTCGTGACTGAATGATCTTCATTTCACGCGAAATATAACAATAATACTCGTTGCAAAATGATTAATATATAAACGAATGTGTAGAAACTGACAGACAGAGACAAAGACAAAGACAGAGACAGAAAGAGAGAGAGAGAGAGAGAGAGAGAGAGAGAGAGAGAAAGAGAGAGAGAGAAAGAGAAAGAGAAAGAAAAAAATAGTAAGAAAGAGAGAGACGGGGGGGGGGAAGAGAGAGGAAGTTGAGAACCTCTTTCGGAGGCAATGCACGACGCGGAGCGGCGCGGCGCGGCGCATCGCTTTCGAGCTGCTTCTCTGGCAGGTGTATGAAAAGGGAAAAATAAAGGAAGAAAACAACGCGGAGGCCGGATTCCCTTCCCCCGCGATGACTGCTGAGAAAAGGCTCGGATTTATGGGCTCTTACATTAAGTCCGAGCGATTAAACTCTAACGATTCGAACGTTTCGCTCTCGAAGAGGCACGTGGCGACGAAAGAAAAAAGAAGAAACGACGACGGCGACGATGACGACGACAACGACGACAACGACGACACGACGACAACGACGACGAGACGACGACGATTTTTGTCGTTTTGTTAATCGAAACGATCCTTTCTTTTTTTCTAGCATACCGATTTTTACGAGTCATATAAGGGAATCGATTGATCATTTTCTCGATATATTCATTTTCACGAAAAATCATCAATCTATTTCAATCTTCTTTTTATCTTTGTCAAAAGACGAGACGTAATATGTTCTATGGTACGATATAGAGTTTCTGCATTCGTGGGAAATAAAATGAAATGGACGAAAAATAAGATGAATAAGAATAAGAATAAGAAGAAGAATAAGAAGAAAAAAGGAAGAAAATAGAACGATGCTCTCCAGCTCTTTTAGTTCGGCCCTTCGACGTGGCAGCACCGTCCAGGGCACTGACAGTCGAGAGAACCAAAACACGACGGTCGACTCTCCTCTAGAGTAAACTGAGAGACGAGATCGTCCGACGCGCGAGAGATCGACAGAGAGAGAGAAAGAGAGAGAGAGAGACAAAGAGAGGAGGGGAAGAGAGCTCGATCGAGCGACGACGCAACGAGAGAGAGAGAGAGAGAGAGAGAGACAGATACAGATAGAGACAGAGACAGAGAGAGAGACAGAGAGAGAAGAGAGAGAGGACAGTCGAAGAAAGCGAAGGGACAAGAAAAATAAAAAAGAAACGAAAAAGAAAAGAAGATACATATTTTCCTTTTCATCGACGACGACGACACGACGATGACGAAGGACGCCGCTCGTCTCTCTACGTCCGACGCGCGCGTGGAGAAACAAGACAGAACGGCGCACGATTCTTTCGATTCGAGCGAGATGAACGAGAGAAAGAGAGTGAGAGAAAGAGAATGAGACAGACAGACAGACAGGCAGACGGACGAACGGCCGGATAGACAGACAGACAGACAGACAGACAGACATAGAGCAAAGCAGAAAGCTGAAGAGATCATTGGTAGTATCGTTTCTCATTCAAGCATGAGATAGAATCAACACGAATCAACAGCAACAACAGCAACCATTGCCGTTGCCATTGCCGACACGACGACTATGACGATGACGACGACGACAATGACAACGACGTCGAAGAGATGAACGAAGGTTCGTCTCTCGCCTAACAAGGGACGACGAGTAAGGGAAAATAGGAAGGTGAGAGGGGGAAGTCGGCAGGCGGGTGAGCGAGCACCGAGAGGGAGATGGAGGGAGGGAGGGAGGGGTAACGAGGGGGGATTGAGGAGAGGGATAGTACAAGTTCGCGGACGGCGAAACTCACCGGGTTGCTTGTTGGCGATCTTGTTGAAGCAATTTTGAAAGACCTCGTAGAGATGCATCGGCTCGTCGTCACTGGCCGCCATGTTTTCACAATACGAGAAAACGAGCGTGGATGTCCGTGGTCGAGGCGAGTGGGCACGGTTTCGCGGTGCGGCCGCGCGCGGAGCCACCCTCCTCCCGGTACGGTCACGCACACTACTGAAGGGAACCGCTTCACGGACAGCGATTTTATACCTCGAACCTGGCGACCTCTGGCGGCCGACGCTTAGGCGCCACCGTTCGGTTAGCGCCACGTTCAAAATTTCTATCGTATGATCTAGAATTATATATATCCATATATGTATGCATGTATGTATGTGTGTGTGTACATTGTACGCACGTCGTACGTATGTTCTTTTTTATATTCCCCCACCTTTACTTTCTTTTTCTTTTTCTTTTTTCTTTTATCTTCATTCATTTTCATAGATAAGCATGCGAGATAGGAATAATTCTTTTAAACGTTCTGTTACATTGTTATAAAGAATTTTATTTGCAAACTGCAGATAAAAGTAGTCGTACAGAATAGATCTATAATATATTAAATCTGTTTGTATATATATAATTTATCATATATACATAAGTATGTGATAATTACGGAGTATTTCATATATAATTAATAGAAACATTTAATGCGATTTAACAATATTACTTGTTTATGTTAGATCATATGCATGCACGTAACAAATGATTACGATAAGAAACAATAAACGTATGTTGTGCCAATATTAGTTATTATTATTAACGGATTGACGTAAAGAACGAAATTTTATAGAACATCGAAATATTTGATCGAAAATATAATTCATTAAAATACAAATTGGCACTATTGTTCTATTTAAAATCTGATCGATTATGTTCACACTGGTATGTATCTTTGATAATATTTAATTATGTCTCTGTTTGTTCGTTGTTTTGGAATATAAGAAATAATGAAAATATATCATGTGAGATTTATATCATTGTACATATAAGCTTCTGTTAAATGATCCGCCCACAAAAAAACAAATTCAAGATCGAACATTATAAGTTTTACAATATATACCATCAAAATAACTTAAATTCCAACGAAATCAGAATTTTGAGGTATCGGATGGGATATGTCCTCGTAATCCTGTCGAGTTATACCTGTAATGTAAAAGAAATGATGTCATATTATATTTTTAAAATTACAGTGATATTTATTTACAAACAGCAAAGTTCGAGATATAATTCATAATACAGAAGCACATAAAAATAATAGCAAATCATTCAAGCATAATCATTGACTACAAAATACCACAAACGAAAACAAAATGTTCACAAACAAACTATCGGTGTAAATGATACTTTACGTAAAAATAAAGCATTCATCAAGCACATACGTAAAGCAGAAAATTGTAGAAGCAATACAAGGCTAGCAAGGCACATCTGTATCCTATGGACTACTGACCCATGGCAGGACAGGGTGTAAACATCGTAGCAAGACTTCCACCTCTTGCTTGTCCTATCCGCAATAGATATATACTCGTGACAACACGCACGACCAGGTTTATTATCATAAACGCTGCACTAAACTTATCAGACGCATCTACAAGTTGGTGAGTTCAAATACATCTTCTGCTTGGGCAGAATAATAAACAATTTGTAATTTTTACATGTCGTCCATTAGTCACATATACGACTGTCTGAACATACTTACATGCTAGACCGATTGGATAGTAAACAGACAAAGTCACTATGTCAAAAAATATTGATAAAACGTTTATGAAGAGAGCCTACAAGAATACAAATAACGTTTTAGCTTGTATAAAATTATTAATAATATATGTAATAACTTAGATTAGACACATAGATTAGAGCTATTTTTTTACTTATAACAACTTACAAATTGTAATGGTTCATCTGATTCAATGTTATGCACAGCCCAGAGTAAGCAAATGAAAAATAGTAAATTGTACATCATTGCAGATTTTGGGCACCAACATCCTTGAATACCCCTGTTAAAAGTATTTAACATTATACTTAAGTATTAACATTATTATTGCATTAACTTAAAGTATAATGTAAGAAATAATATAATGAGATATAGAAATCATATTAAATTTATAATTACCATGTTACAAGAACCAGATGAATTGCAAAAATTACCTAAAAAAATATAGAAATGCATGAAAATCATGTCATTATCTAGTGATAGATATACATTATAGTTAATGAAATACTTGTAGAACAACTCATGTAATTGTATCACATTATTTTTATCTTATATAACAAAACCACATAACATACACACACACACACACACACACATATATATATATATATATATATATATATATATATATATGTATATATATTGCTCAATGTAATAAACATACAAATATTTTATTATAACATATAGTGTCGAAATAAAATAAAATATTGGTGTGTATATATGTGTGTAAAATAAAATATTGGTGTAAAACATATATATCTTCATTTTTATTTATACATAATAAAAAAGAAGAGAGATACCCCACATATCACAACATACACTGATAACATAATAAGCCTATGGTATGATATGACAAGTAATATAGGATAACTTCATGGTAACAAATATGATAAGGATAAAATGGAATATTTATGACGATAATAATTATTATGTTGCTATATAAGAGGTTTAGAAGAATATTTAAGAAACTACTGGAACAGAAAATACTTTTATATGATTCTTATATATATTATATTTACCTTTAATGGATAGCTAGATATACTAGATAAATTCGGCATTTTTATGCAATTAAAGTCTACGTGTTTCTCGTAAAACAATTGCTTTCTTATTTCTTCTTATGGATCGTTCAATAATACAACGTTCTTTCGTACCTGTCACTCTACTGCTTTGTCTCTTTCCTTTCGAATTAGCACTTCATAATGATATACACAGTATTAGATATTGCGTATGTAAACGCCTTTTACGTTTACTGCCATCTGTCATAGTTTTTTAAAACTTCGTTTAAAATTAGAATCTAACCTTACTTACGCGTGAAACGTCGATATTAGTAATCAATAGTATGACCTTACACCCACACTGCTTTATGTGAATACATAAAAATATAGTTAACTCCAGTCCTTCAAAGTTGCAATAAATATTGATAAAGTATAAATGTGCTAAATAAATGATTAAGAAAATGCATTCTTATCAATAGGGTTACATAAAAAAAAAAGAGAAAAAAAAGATAAAAAGAAAAAGATAGTTAAGCGTATTTATTTATTATTAACATATAATAATACTCTTTTTTTTTATTATGCGTGGAAAAAATTGAGGTTAAATAAATCATTGTTCTCAATTTATTATTCTTGTCATTATATTAATATCATGTTTATAAAATGAACGTGTAGGTTTCATTATAATATTAAATCATTAATGGTCAAGTAAGAAAGTTCTATACGCCTACATATAAAATTTATGTTGCTTATGATATATTGCTTTTTGCTAACTTCAATGTAAACATAGTCAAGCTAATGAAGCTGAGTTTAATGCTAATCGTTCATTAATTATTGAATAATTATATAACAGAATGAATGTGTCGATATAAGCGCTACGATCTGTTTCTAGCGAGTCGATAACGTAGTAAATAATTCAAAAATTATAAGAGGACTCTGAACTTTAAATTCAAATTTATCTTATAATTTATATCTTCGATTACGAAATTCTAGTATTTTTATTTAGGTCGCATGTATTTTTTTATTTTGAAATCTTTCATTATATCGTATTGAGATGACGCCACAGTCTACATTATTGAAACTTTGCTGATGTGAATTATGGGTTATTCGCTTTAATTCAACAATATTCTATCGATTTTCTTTTTAAACAATGTTACGAAGAGGTACTTTTTCTGTACAGCATCTTAGATTTCTTATAAGAAGTTATCATGATAATGTACCTGTCATTGGTACATCACAAGATACAAGATCATCTACTTTTCAAGTAAGAATAATATTTTCTTTGAATACTCAGTTGGAAATATAATATACTAAATTGTAAATATATAATATACTATAATGATAACGACATTAATTATCGTTCTTTTCTTTATAAACTTTTTAAAGATTTTTAAAGATTTTTAAAGATATTTTAAAATAGATTTTACAATGATATAATTTATAAGACAAATGTATATATTATTGACATATATGGGAAAATTTTTGTAATATTTGCAAAAACAATATATAATGATATGTTAATTTGATATAAAAATATTTACCAAATTTTAGGAAAATTATCTACAAATGAAAATACTTGTAGACGAATTGAAATCTATTGTAGAAAAGATAGTAGAGGGTGGGGGAAATAAAGCCATAGATAGACATTTAAGCAAGGGAAAATTATTACCCAGGGACCGTATCAATGTGCTTCTAGATGAAGGTTCTCCTTTCTTAGAATTTTCGCAATTAGCAGGATACAAGATGTATAAAAAAGAAGAGGTACCGGCTGGCGGAATAATAACTGGTATCGGCAGAGTAGAAGGGTAATTATAACATTTACTATTTAATGATACATTGAAATTATTATACTCATTATTGATTAATAAACACTCCTACAGGAATGACTGTTTAATAATAGCAAATGATACAACGGTAAAAGGTGGCACTTATTATCCGATTACAGTCAAAAAGCAATTGCGTGCTCAAGAAATTGCAGAAGAAAATAGATTACCTTGTATATACTTAGTTGACAGTGGGGGAGCTAATTTATCTTATCAATCCGACGTGTTTGCTGACAAAATGCATTTTGGAAGAAGTTTTTATAATCAAGCAAATATGAGCGCCATGGGAATTGCACAAATTGCTGTGGTAATGGGAAGTTGCACAGCAGGTTTGGTTCATTTATTAGGTTACCTTATCATTTGATTATTAAATGTTTGTTATCATTTAATTTATTAAATTAGGTGGTGCATATATTCCTGCAATGGCCGATGAAAATATTATTGTTGGAAATCAGGGTACTATATTTTTGGCTGGTCCACCTTTAGTAAAAGCATCTACTGGAGAAGAGGTTACGTCAGAAGATTTAGGAGGAGCAGCTTTACATTGCCGGTAATTGATAAATGGAGATACATTATTTTGCATATTAATTTAGTCATAATTTCATGCTTTGTAATCTTAAAATTGTAGAAAGTCTGGAGTGTCAGATCACTATGCTATCGACGATACTCACGCTTTGTATCTAGCACGACGAATTGTTAAAAATTTAAATTGTATACCTCCCATGGATGTAAAAATTGATACAAATGTGGAGGTACCGGTACATGCTATTGATGAACTTTATGGCATAGTTGGTACCAATTTAAAACGACCTTTTGATGTACGGGAAGTCATTGCAAGAATTGTTGATGGATCAAGATTTAATGAATTTAAAGCATTGTACGGGAAGACATTGGTTACTGGATTTGCTAAAATTCATGGTTATCCAGTAGGAATCGTTGCAAATAATGGTGTTCTTTTTTCTGAAAGCGCATTAAAAGGAACACATTTTATACAGTTGTGTGCACAAAGAAAAATACCTCTTGTGTTTTTGCAAAATATTACAGGTTAATCATTGAAAAATTAGATGTCTAGCATTAATTTGAATTTAATTTATAACATTTCTTTTTTTCTTGTTATTAATACATATATTCGTATAATTATAATTCAGGATTTATGGTGGGTAAAGATGCGGAAGAAGGAGGTATTGCTAAAAATGGTGCAAAAATGGTAACAGCGGTAGCGTGCGCAAAGGTTCCCAAAATTACCGTGTTAATCGGAGGTTCTTACGGTGCTGGAAATTATGGTAATTTTGTTTATTATGTAAGCAATATATGCATATGTAAACATGTATGAAACCTTTGTAACTTACCATTTCTTTTTGGTTTATGTTGAATAGGGATGTGTGGACGTTCTTATTCCCCACGCTTTTTGTATTCTTGGCCAAATGCTAGAATCTCTGTGATGGGAGGAGAACAAGCAGCCAGTGTAATAGCTCACATTACAAAAAGTCAGTGTCTTCGAGAAGGCAAAGAGGTAACATTTCAAGTATTATGTTTGCTTTAATTAGGAATATAGATTTTACTTACATTTCATATTATAGCTGACGAAAGAAGAAGAAAATAAAATTAAAGAGCCAATTATCAAAAAATTTGAGGAAGAAGGTAGTCCATACTACTCGAGTGCTAGGTAAAATATTATTTTTAATGCTACATAAGTAAATAAGAATAAAAAAGAAATAGATATATAAAAGATCTATAAATTATATTTCTATAGATTGTGGGATGATGGAGTGATCGATCCAGTTGATACTAGGACAGTGCTTGGACTCAGTTTGGCTGCCTGTTTGAATGCTTCAATACCAGAAAGCAAATTTGGTATCTTCAGGATGTAATATGTTCTAGGATATATGTGTGTTATATATATATATATATATATATATATATATATATATATATAATATGTTGTAGGATATATGTGTATATATATATATATACACATATATATATGTATATATATATATATACATATATATTTTTTTATACGTTTATAAAAATGAATGTTTATATTATGATCTGTTTATAGTATATATATATGTTTAATGAAATTTAGGCCAACGGCTTCCAATTATGTCGTGATATGTTGATTTTCATAAAAAGTTGAAAGAAGTGTATAAAATTGTTAAAAATAAAAAAGATGTTTATAAAATCGATAAGTTTGGAAGTCGTTGGTTGATCCAAAGAAAGTTATTTTTATTGTTATACAACTATATTTTATATACAATTACATGGATCATTTCATAAATAAAATTTCCAAATGAAATTTTTCTGTTATACATATACTTCTTTTCATAAAAACTTTGAAACATATTGAAAAAGAAAAGATAAATAAAAAAGAAAAAAATATATATATTCTTTTCTTGTTTTATTTATAAAACAAGTGTTAAAAGATTGATTAGGGTAAAAAAAAGAATACACAATAAGTTAGCGATAGAGAATGTATCACATACAAACATATAGTATTTAAATCGTCGTATCAGCCTTCGCTTTATTTTCACTTATGTTACAGTTAAGCTGTAGTTATACCAGTAATAGTTAGCCATAATTAATTATTATCGTATAATAATTAAGTCACGTTAAAATATTATACCCCGTCGCACGACTAGGTTTTTCAGTTTTCTCCGCTCGCAAAGGCCAATTTTCTCGTGACGATTGATCGTAGATAGAGTAGGTGCATGTAAATGTAAAGATTGTCTAAGAAAACACAAGAGGAGATGATGGAAGAAAATTCGGCAGTCGCAGAACGGAGAAATATCATGAGTTTACATTATATAAGTACATATATATATATATATATATATATATATATATATATGTATATATATATGTACTTGAATAAAAATTCTTCCCTTAACGCGATTCCAACATCCCTTTATCACTGTCATTTAAACGATATTTATTTTTCATTATCACATAAAATCGTCTTGTATCGCTCAAAGCGCGATATCATCGTTCACTTTGAACGCCTATTATAATTTCAAATACACTTTTTTATACGATATTGTATAGTATAACCCGTGTTTATTGAAAAAAACAAGAAAAAAAAAAAAAAAAAAAGAAAGGAAAAAAAATCGTTGAAATGAAAAAATTATTAGGCGTCACATGTGACTTGTCCTCTCCAAAACACTTAAACCCTTAATAATTATAAACCCTTTCATGTCTATTGTATGTATTTTGTTAAAAAAAAGAAAAAAAAGAAAGGAAAAAAGTAAGTTCCACCTTAAGATTAAATTTCACTTGAAAACTTAGGTATCCCGTGTTTTGTCCTATTTACAATTAATGTAATACTTTCTTTCCGTTCTACAGGACAGCGTAGAGAGGGGCGATGAAGAAGACGAAGAGTCCAAAGGTTGTCGCGATAATAGACGAAACGGCAGCATTAGTCTCTATCTCTGTGAGCTTGTATTTGAACTGTTCTCTGACCTCTTCTGCTATGACTGGTCTCTCCTCCGTTCTGACCGTCGTCGGAGATGAGTGTTCTTCCTCAGCGATCACTGCTCTCTCCTCGGTTCTGTTTTTACCCTTTCGTATGAACTCTGATAGAACTGCACGTATATAGTTAGAAGAAAATGGATTTAACGAGTATTTCAAGATGATTAATTGATCGTTCCTATCTACGTAGAATGAAGTGCGGTTTACCTTGATCTATCATTACGTCGTCCTCGAAGTCGACCTTGATGAAGGTAGACATGGTCACCTCGAACAATTTATTCTTATCCGTGTTCGACGATGCTATTGCTCTTTTCTTTCTACCGAAGCCTATTTGTCCGTTACTACATTCGATCTAGAATAAAAATGGCTCAATACGTAACGATGATTAGATATACTTAACGATTAGAGAACTGAATGGAACATGTCTAAATGATGAAGCTACAAGCAAATAATTTAAGAGTCTATTTTAAGAGTTCGCTTGAGAATGAATAATAGACAAAATGGAAAAAAAGTACGAAGCATTTTATTTTATTGTGCAATTAAGAGGCCTTATTATATTATAATTACTTCGTATGTGCAAAAACTTACCCCTAGACATTTGTCTAGACAGACATTAACAGTACCACGGAACTGAACGTAGGTACTCTCAGGGAACTTGAAAGCACGGAACTTTGCGGTAAGAAAATCACCATTCACGGTGTAAAAGTTCTCGAAGAGATATGGATCCACCGAACATCTGACGGCAAAATGGATGAACTCGTTAAACATTCTTTTTTTTTCTTTTTTTTTTATAAAATTACGTGATTATGAAAAGGATTCATTAGACTCACCCGTTAATGATTATCGTTTCTTCTTGAGTCTTCGTGTCGGTAACTTGCATATAAGTTACTAACAGTCCATAGATCGGTGCTGACTCATTGTCCAGAAATATCTCCATCTGCAAAGGGGTACCAGGACTGACATTGAGTTCACCGGTAACCAAAGTACCACCTTGTTTTACACCCACGCCTAGAATAGGAACGGGTGCCGAGACTGATATTTCACCTCGAACTTCGATGATGCTGAAACGACAAGCAATATTTTATTTGATTTCAATCTCGTTTATTTATTTCGATGTGATAACTCTGATAATAAACAACACTCCTTGATTTCGATTAAACACTTTACTAAAATCGGTTTTTTTCTTTCTCTCTTTTTTTTTTGTTTTTGTTTTTTTTCTTTTTTTATTTGAAACAAGTTTTACATAAATGTATCGCTCCTCTTTTTTCTTTTCTTTTTCTTTTACTTCACATTTCTTTTTTTATCTTTTATGATTTGATCACTTAAGTACATTATGTTTATAAACGAAGCGAGTTATTTTAATAGTAAGAAAAAAAGAAAAATTTCTTTTTCTCGTGCAAAATTGACTATTACTTATCGATGCTCATGAAATATTTCAAATGTCGTCGAATTTCTTTTGGAGAACTACCGTTCATCGCGTAAACGTGCGGAACGCCGACTTTCAGTCTGAGTCTCGATCATAAGATTCTATTGCACGAAACGACGAGCATCTGTCGGACAAGACCGTTGCGTGCATCGGGAATAGAACGACAAGGATAAACTACCAGGAGTAGCATCTACTTTATATAAGTTTCTTTATTTTTTGCCTCAATAAAATAATCGCACGTGCTGTTTCTAACTCAACTCTCAAGACTTATGAGGTAACGAAAAAGATAAAAAGCATTAGATCAAAACTCACATCTGGAATAATTCGTTGAATTTTGCCAGATGTTGAAGGAAATAAAAAAAAAAAAAAAAAAAGAAAAAAGAAAAAGAAAGAAAGAAGGAAAAAAAACAGAAAAAACCAAAAAGACAAGTAATTTTCATCTTGTCTAGAAACTCGTGGTCATCCGAAACGATAGAGGTTGGTAATCGTTTTGCGGTTGGATTTTCTGCTTTATCGAGATAACGACGAAGAAGAGGTACTTTCGTGTACCGTTAAGAAGAGATAAATTCGTTATCGTGTCGCGCGAGATGCCCGAAAGTCGAAACCTTACCTAAACGAGGTAATTAACGTCAGAATTCAATGGGGGTTTTCAATTCTATTGGAAAACGAATATCTTATCGAGATTCAAATAAAAGTACGTCGTTTTGATCGCAACATTGGTCTACCAACCATGTCTTTACGAAGCGCTGATTATTTGACAATAAAGTTCTTACGGTTCCCCAGTTGCTCGTCGGAGTAACGGAGTCTCGTCTATGACGGTGGGAAAGCAGGCACTATCGTTAGGATTATTTTCAGGGTGGTCGAAATTATAATTAACATCTATCGCCGGAAGACGTATCAGCATTTCAAATAGATTACAATTCAAAGAATTAGAAATTATTATTAATATCCATTAATAATTATAGTTCACGTTTTATATACATATATACATATACGTTTTATATACATTTATATACATATATATATATCATATCGAAATAATGTTAAATTCATCCAATAACAAAAAAAAAGAAAGTATTAACATATATATCTTAACGATCAGAATTTTACAAATCATCATATTTTATAAAACGGATTATTCAATACTTTTTAAATTATTTCGAAAAGGAATGTTACTAAGGTTCGGCGAACCCAACGATTCTCATAGAAAAAAAAAGAAAAAGAGAAAAAGAAAAAGAGAAAAAGAAAAAGAGAAAAAGAAAAAGAGAAAAAGAAAAAGAGAAAAAGAAAAAGAATTATCGTTTCATCTATGTATATCGTTCACATTGGAAGCGGAGTTCCTTTAAATAAATTATCAAGATAGCTTGAAAAGCAGGCGCCCGCATTCATCTATATATCTCGCGCGTTCTTTCCTTTGCCCCGAGGACGAACAAAAAACATTCTCATCTTTTTTAGGCACAACCGCAGGGCGTGTCTTATCCAATCACCATCGCAAAAAATCTTTGCTTGGTATAACTTATCATAGAAATGGAATTTTTCAATTTTTCTTTGTAAGTTCTGCACAAATGGTGATTTTTTTTTAATGCATTTGCGCACACATGTATGCGTGTACGTTTCTCTTCTTTTTTTTTAAACTATGTAGAAAAAAAATCGGTTTAATCAAATCTAATAAAATATTAGATTGACACATTGAATTTATAATTGTTAAATTGATCATCCGAAAATGTTAAAAATATTTGATAATTTTTAAAAAATAAATTTTTAAAAATTGAACCAATTCTACAAGTTACATATCTCAAAATAGCTGGGCTAAGCGTGCACCGATTATCTCGAAGGATCTAGGTAAAGATCACGCGTAGTGCGCCATCGACGCGGCACTTTCCTCTTTTCCAGGACACGGAGAAAGCGAGTGATCGAGAATAGAGGTCGACGCTCTCGAGCAACGCGACTCGTCCGGCAGGAAATTACGTGGGAGGACTGTGGGAAGAGATTTCAATCGAACTCTTTTTCGATACAAAAGCGATCGCAATATCCTGGAAAATACGAAGACAATAAACTTTCCGGTACTTTGAAATTCCTTTATGATTGATATGGTTAGAAAAAAAGAAAAAAGAAATCAATATTTTCTTAAAAAGATATCGCAGCATGAATCACAAGATCATTTAATTTTTTAAAACAAATCATCTTTTCGTTCACGGATAATCGATGAAAATGTCAGACAAGAAAAAAGAAAACAACAATTTTATTTTCAGAGAACATAATAACCAAGTTTGAAAACATCTATACTGAAATTAACGAATTAATGAAAGATGTTTTCGCGGTTAAGGGTTACCTATCATAAAATTACTATCTTTTCTTAACGGTAACAAGAACTTTTGGTTTTATCGGCAACTTCCGTGTAAAAAATGTTATTGATCGTTTTAAAATACTCAAGAAAGTTGTAATACCAAACAAATACATTTTTATTAATAAAATGTATTACTTGTTCTTATTTATAAACGGAATCAAAGAAGAGAAGAAAATAAAGAAGAAAGAGAGAGAGGGAGAGAAAGAGAGAGAGAGAGAGGGAAAGAGAGAGAAACAAGAAAGAAAAAATGATAAAAAGGGCAAAGAACTCACTCCTGCTCTTGAAATCCTTCCGGAAGGACGCTCCGTCGTACCGTCGTGTGATTGACTGCGATAGCGTCTCCAGGTTGCACGACTACTTCGGTGATAACACATTTTACCGTGAAGGTGTGCTTGCTGGAATCCGCCGGCTCCTCCACTATTATCCGATGATAGTACACCTTCTGACCCTGTATATCATTATCCAGAGGTAATTTCGTTCGAATCTACTCTAGCGACGGTTAGACGTACAAGACCGTAAAGGATGAACATACTAGGGAGGAGTATTATATTAAGAAGAGAGAGAAAAAGAGAGAAAGAAAAAAAAAGAGATTGGACTAACCGTGGAAACAATGAAAAAAGTTATTCACCTTAGCACGTTAATAAATGTGTAAATATATTGCCACGTAACAATCTTTGACGTTACATATATATTTCCACTTTTGATCGTTGTGATTTATTCACAGTAAAAATAAAATTTCTTTAACCGTTTTTAATTGATCCGTTCTTAACTTATTCATGATTCATAAATCTTCTAAAGTTATGCGTATTTTTACGATGTAATTAAATATGTTAGATATTAAAAATAATAAAAAGAAATATGTTAGACGTTAAAACAGAAAAATAGACAATAAAAAGAAACGTAGGTATCACGTACATATATTTAGATATAGTATCGAAATTCTACAAGCTATTTATGAAAAATAGAATTATATACTTACATATATATATATATATATATTAATTCGAATGTATTTTTTTCTTCTTTTTTTAATTTCAAACGAGTGGAAAACTTTTTTAAATTTAGCAATAATTTTTTTAATAAATAATATGACAATAGCTTTGAGATCTAACGAAAGTAAACGAATGATACGTATATAACGATGAACAAGAAGAAAATTACCAAGTTCTTTTCTCTTTTACTTACCGTAACTTTATTAACGACCCTCGTGATGCCGCATCGTAGCATGTCTTGTTCTAATAATGATAATCTGAACGTTGCGACTCCATCGCTGAGTTGCGGCTTGCAGGTTGCGTCTGAAGGCCAAAAGAAAAATAAACGTTCGAGATAGTAAGTAGGTAGTAGTAAGTTGGTAGACCTTGTTACTCGTGAAATTAATCGTCGATCCGTTAATGACTCTCGTATTTGATCGATATACATTACCTGGATAGTCCTTAAGCTGTTGGAGATATATCCTTGCCTGAGGACTACTCCTGACAATGTCAACTTCCATCGAACGTTCGGAACATCTCACTTTACTTTGAACTAGAACAGAATAAAATAATAATCAGATTTATAAATATCATAATAACAATAACGTTTATTTTGATCTGGTCATTAAAAATGAACGATCTTATCCAATTCGAATAATATTTATTTCAAGATATTCGATGTACATTTAATTGTATGTTCGGATGATCATCGAATAGAAGGCGGTTACCAACATCGATAGAAATCGAAAGACGACCTTAAACGATCTAGAGTCATGATCTTATCCGAGTACGGAAGAAGAGGTTCGCCGTACTCGATCCATTGGTATATACTACGATAATTGCCCCATAAACTCGTGACTGTCTCGACCTTGAAAAAGCAATGGAGGCGTATTTCTCGCGTGACGTATATATCAAACGAACCCTGAAACGACGTTTGTTCGTAAAACTCGATGATGAATAGTTTCGGCTTTAGACAATGTTGAGACGTTAACGTTATTATAGAAAAAAAAAACATTTTTAACGAGCAATGCATTTCTTAATTAATTATTTAAATTTATTCATTTAGAAACGAGAAAAAAATATAAGAAAGGCAATTTGTAAAGAAGGATAGACAAGTCTTAGACACTCTTTACACGTTTAATAGGAATAGTTGTCGGTAAAGTAAGGTGTATGTAAGTACCTACATATATAGGAACGTGGGAAGCGATTTAATGGTTCGTACTATCATCGGCTAATTTCATTCTCATAGTATTACCTTCTAAAGTGTAATGTTCGTGGCAAAAAGTAGACGTTAAACCAGTTTGTTGCTATAAAGTAACGCGAATTAGCGACATTCCGAAGAAGGAATACTTATATATGTATATATGCGAGTATACATTGTAGCATACGCGAATCGTTCGATGATTGTACGCCTTGGGCTAATTTAATTTTGATCGGTCGATAAGCTAGTCGGCGAGTTCCTTTCTATCCTATTGAACGTATGTACCTCTAGGTAGATGGGTATACCTACCTACCTACCTACCTACCTACTACGCTTGGTAAGAATCGGAACGAAAGAAAGAAAGAAAGAAAGAAAGAAAGAAAGAAGTAGAAGAAAAAAAGAAGAAAGATGGAAGAGTAATAGACGGTTTGAAGCGCCGAAAGCTTTAAGTCTAGCAACGACCTATTAGTTTTATGTTTTAAAATTGAAATGAGAATGATGCGATGATAATAAAGAAATTTTATGCGTTCGTCGATTGGAAATAAATGCTGAAGAGAAAAAGAGATAGATAGAGATAGAGAGAGAGAGAGAGAGAGAGAGAGAGAGAGAGAGAGAGAGAGAGAGAGAGAGAGAAAGAGTGCATTGAACTATTTCTTTTTTCTTTTTTTTTTTTTAATGTCAAGATGAGAACAGACATTTCCTTTTTCTCCATTGTCGTGAATATTTAATTGCGAAAGTTCCGGAAGATGTAGATTTAAATACGAAGGACTCAGACTTTGCTTTGGTAGGATGGACACGCACGAGAAAACAATTTCAACGATCACCTCGTGGACACGATTCGGCATTAATCACTTGGGAAACGGCGCGAAGACGCGATATTTTCTCGAGACCGACATCGCATCTTCGGCGAACACCAACTGAGCTATAATTCACGTTCAGGTATCATCGTCACGCGCGCAACACGGTGTTAAGAACTCGGAGAACGTTGTCCATGGCGAGGTTTCGTGGTGTTGTAAGTTTCGCGAATGAGTACTCTCCTATCGTAACATAAAGAAACTCTCTACGTACTAGCTATATGCATAATCGTGTGTAAGTTGAATCATATAAATTTTCTTTTCCTATGTCAGTAAAAGTATTTCCGAAGACTAGCGATGAAAAATTCGAAGAGTATGATCACTTGCTGAAATAGCTACTATCTAATTAAATTCTAATTAGTTATACTTAATATCAAGTAGATATGCATAATAAAAGTATACTGTACTTTTGAAATATGATGTAAATAACAACCTTGTAAATTGCTTTAAATGTATGTCTACAAATAGATATTGAATTTTTATCTTATATGTGTATTTTTATTATTATTATTATTATTATTATTATTATTATTATTATTATTATTATTATTATTATTATTATTATTATTATTATTATTATTATTATTATTATTATTATTATTATTATTATTATTATTATTATTATTATTATTATTATTATTATTATTATTATTATTATTATTATTATTATTATTATTATTATTATTATTATTATTATTATTATTATTATTATTATTATTATTATTATTATTATTATTATTATTATTATTATTATTATTATTATTATTATTATTATTATTATTATTATTATTATTATTATTATTATTATTATTATTATTATTATTATTATTATTATTATTATTATTATTATTATTATTATTATTATTATTATTATTATTATTATTATTATTATTATTATTATTATTATTATTATTATTATTATTATTATTATTATTATTATTATTATTATTATTATTATTATTATTATTATTATTATTATTATTATTATTATTATTATTATTATTATTATTATTATTATTATTATTATTATTATTATTATTATTATTATTATTATTATTATTATTATTATTATTATTATTATTATTATTATTATTATTATTATTATTATTATTATTATTATTATTATTATTATTATTATTATTATTATTATTATTATTATTATTATTATTATTATTATTATTATTATTATTATTATTATTATTATTATTATTATTATTATTATTATTATTATTATTATTATTATTATTATTATTATTATTATTATTATTATTATTATTATTATTATTATTATTATTATTATTATTATTATTATTATTATTATTATTATTATTATTATTATTATTATTATTATTATTATTATTATTATTATTATTATTATTATTATTATTATTATTATTATTATTATTATTATTATTATTATTATTATTATTATTATTATTATTATTATTATTATTATTATTATATTATTATTATTATTATTATTATTATTATTATTATTATTATTATTATTATTATTATTATATTATTATTATTATTATTATTATTATTATTATTATTATTATTATTATTATTATTATTATTATTATTATTATTATTATTATTATTATTATTATTATTATTATTATTATTATTATTATTATTATTATTATTATTATTATTATTATTATTATTATTATTATTATTATTATTATTATTATTATTATTATTATTATTATTAATTATTATTATTATTATTATTATTATTATTATTATTATTATTATTATTATTATTATATTATTATTATTATTATTATTATTATTATTATTATTATTATTATTATTATTATTATTATTATTATTATTATTATTATTATTATTATTATTATTATTATTATTATTATTATTATTATTATTATTATTATTATTATTATTATTATTATTATTATTATTATTATTATTATTATTATTATTATTATTATTATTATTATTATTATTATTATTATTATTATTATTATTATTATTATTATTATTATTATTATTATTATTATTATTATTATTATTATTATTATTATTATTATTATTATTATTATTATTATTATTATTATTATTATTATTATTATTATTATTATTATTATTATTATTATTATTATTATTATTATTATTATTATTATTATTATTATTATTATTATTATTATTATTATTATTATTATTATTATTATTATTATTATTATTATTATTATTATTATTATTATTATTATTATTATTATTATTATTATTATTATTATTATTATTATTATTATTATTATTATTATTATTATTATTATTATTATTATTATTATTATTATTATTATTATTATTATTATTATTATTATTATTATTATTATTATTATTATTATTATTATTATTATTATTATTATTATTATTATTATTATTATATTATTATTATTATTATTATTATTATTATTATTATTATTATTATTATTATTATTATTATTATTATTATTATTATTATTATTATTATTATTATTATTATTATTATTATTATTATTATTATTATTATTATTATTATTATTATTATTATTATTATTATTATTATTATTATTATTATTATTATTATTATTATTATTATTATTATTATTATTATTATTATTATTATTATTATTATTATTATTATTATTATTATTATTATTATTATTATTATTATTATTATTATTATTATTATTATTATTATTATTATTATTATTATTATTATTATTATTATTATTATTATTATTATTATTATTATTATTATTATTATTATTATTATTATTATTATTATTATTATTATTATTATTATTATTATTATTATTATTATTATATTATTATTATTATTATTATTATTATTATTATTATTATTATTATTATTATTATTATTATTATTATTATTATTATTATTATTATTATTATTATTATTATTATTATTATTATTATTATTATTATTATTATTATTATTATTATTATTATTATTATTATTATTATTATTATTATTATTATTATTATTATTATTATTATTATTATTATTATTATTATTATTATTATTATTATTATTATTATTATTATTATTATTATTATTATTATTATTATTATTATTATTATTATTATTATTATTATTATTATTATTATTATTATTATTATTATTATTATTATTATTATTATTATTATTATTATTATTATTATTATTATTATTATTATTATTATTATTATTATTATTATTATTATTATTATTATTATTATTATTATTATTATTATTATTATTATTATTATTATTATTATTATTATTATTATTATTATTATTATTATTATTATTATTATTATTATTATTATTATTATTATTATTATTATTATTATTATTATTATTATTATTATTATTATTATTATTATTATTATTATTATTATTATTATTATTATTATTATTATTATTATTATTATTATTATTATTATTATTATTATTATTATTATTATTATTATTATTATTATTAT